CTTTTGCCAGTCTACATTAAGTCCTGATGGGAAAATGCAAAGGAATTTTCTGATAATGGGTCTCAGTCTGGAAAGTAGAATTTGGGGTTCATAATGCAATTAATTGTTGAAATATTTCAGAACACCACAAGCTACGATCAGTCTGATGCAAATGGTGCAGCATGATCATGCTAATGCTAGCTATTTTTGTGTCAGCTGATGCCTCATTAGGATTTGCTCTACCACAATTGTGTTTTTTTACAGTCAGTTTGTGCATAACTCAACATTTAAAACTGCCATATTTTTGCGGAGTAATTTACTCAAATATGTCTTATATCGGTAACATAAGCAAATACCACAAAGAATAATTAAGTTGAAAGTATGAGTGACAATGATACAACTATTAAAATTACAAGTTTCTACAAAAAGGAAAGCTCACTGATTTTACCCCTGGTCTGTACTATATATGCAAAATGCAAAACAACTAAAAAAAGTTTACATGACTAGCAAACAGTTTTCAATAATTAAATTAATAATAGTTGATTGTGATTTCTTGTTTAAATCATAAAAATTATCGTTAGTGTGAGTTGATTATAGTGTGTGATCAAAACTAAAAATAGATAAATGACTGCTAATACTAAGCACAGATTTCAAATGTTTGCACAATAACAAAATTCCTCTCACGGATGTGTGGCTATGACAACAACCACTGTTTCAACACTTCAACATTCATGTGTTTGTAACTGTGACTGAACTTTCTGAATTTTTTACTTAGATTGCATTTGTTGTCTCAATCCAGTAATGAACTTAATTTAACAAATCCAAATCACAATCGTAAATACACACATGCAACTAAATTTTGATATTCAAATATAAATATTTTTCTGTCTTGTGTATCAAAGTATATCCTTATTCTTGAGTATTAACTGCTGTAAACATCAGCCCTGCATATCTCAGTGCTAGGTGAAGTATGACTCAATTTGCATATTATGGTTGTTTTCGATGTGTGTTTTTCATGTTCATATCATTCCATTAAGACTAATTACTAAATAACAATACATATGATAAGAATATTTATTAAGTAATATTTAATTAGTGATTAATCTGTACTATTAATACATTCTATATTATATAATACTGCTGTCTTTGTGAGAAATATATCATGTTTTAATTAATATAAACAATTTTTTAAAATGAACATTTGCTGCCTATGAACATTTAACTAATCCATTGGCATTTATTGAATTTAACCCTTAGTAGAAGAAGATTATGCATGTATGTGCCTATATGATGGGTAGCCTATTATAAAGACTTGTGTAATTTATTCACAAACCTAAAATTTCTACAACTATACCTATGTAAGCTGTTATTACAGCAGAGAAAAACCTGAACACAATATCATTCAAAAATAGTTGTCAGTACAGGGATCGAATGTGTGCAGTGCTTCATCTTGTCATAAGCATTGAGCTCACTCTGTATTCAACAATGACATCATTGCATTTGATGAATAAATACATATATAATTACAATAATAATAGCACAACACCGGTAAGGCTGGTGGTACGAGGTGTGTCATCTTTCTGGCATGCAGACGGGTGCTGGTTTCCACTGTGAAACCATTTGGATATCAAAATGTTACGATCGTTTAGTTTTCCTTCCTTTTCTGGCTCAATGTAAGTATTAAATGTAATGTTAATGTATGAATGAAGACAGTGTTGACATTCCGAATGAACTTTATAATAGGTGATGTATGATAAATAGAAATATTTATACGATATGGCATTTATTAATAGCTTGCATCGTAAAATAACTTCTATTGTAAAATATATTGGTTCATCTAATGTTCACCTTGACGTTAAACGCTAGTTTTATTCATTTGAACAGATATACATTTATACACATGAGGTACCCTTAGGTTGATCTGTACAGGATATACATGGGCCTGACGGAAGGACATATATGCTTTCAATCACATGATAAATATATTTGCAGTTTCAGTATATCCTGTTTCTTTTAATTTTTGTTCTGAATTTGTTATTAGTATTTTATTATGCTTAATGGAGTATGGATGGAACTTGTTTTTGTATACCTATTTAATATATAAATACAGTAGTGTTTTTCCTCCCGTATTCAAGATCTATACATGGGTATCTTAAATGAATTATCAGTCCTAAATGTTATTGCCATATTCCAGTTGAAGCTCAGAATTTATACAATTTTATCAAATTAAATTTTCACAATTTCCTCTAGGTTGGCCTGGCTGATTTATTTCTAAATCTGTTATTTCAATGTTTCTCATTGTGTACATTTTTTTTCTGTATTCCATCATTTCCGGTTGATGTTTGAATTTTATCCACTCCCACATTACTCAAACAAAGGTATACAATTTAAGCTCTACTTTATTTTCCCCCTGAATAGATACCATGTAATATTCACCAGTATGGTGGTGGTTTTTAGTTTCCTATTCCAAGTTATGACCCAATGATTTGATAAAAAGCATGGAGGTTATCTTGCCTTCAAGTCTGTTACTATATTTTCAGGGCATCTAATTTTCAAGGCCAAAGGTTCTGAAAATGACTCATTTTACTGAGATTGTAAAAGGATGTTACTTGTTTTGAACAGTACCAAAGCGTTAATTTATCTAGGTGGTGAATTTGGAGCCCTAGTTTTATGTTTAACTTCATTTACTATTTTTACAAAACATGTGCAAATTATATTACATTATTATGCAAATTAGCCACATGCTTAGGCTTTCGTCTGGGGAGAACATTGCATAAGCGCTTGTACTACTAATTAATAGAGAAAATATTGTATCATTCTTTTTGTTTTTAGTTGTACATGGTCATATCCATCCTTCGTTCCTAATTTCATTAATATTTTAAAGTGCATATAAATTTCTGTGTTGCTCAAATAATTGTAATGCCTCGCAGAAATTCTACCGATACATGTATATATGACCTTTATTAATAAGTCTTCAGGAGATTTACAAAAATGTGCTCTTCCCATTTCAGTTACTGACATTCGCATAGAATAATTTTGCTGACAATTGCTTTCTATTGCTAGATTCCTGAATTACTTCTCCCCTGTATTTAAATCCTTTGTGGATTATAACATTCGATTTGGTATTTAAATAAACTTAACCTTTACTTCTAATATTCCAAGACTCTTGACATTCAAGCCAAATTATAGATCACAAATTCTAGTTCTTTTTTTCTGTACAAAATGTAACAACTAATGAACAAAATGACATTGAACAATAGGAATGTACAGGTTTCAAAAAATGCACTAAAAATGCAGCTGGTGCAGAATTTATTGTTCTGTCTGGAATTCTTCAAATAGTTTCAACTTCAGTTGTTTGCTGTTACATATACTGTATTTTCTCTAGTAATGCATG